AACATTAATCAAAAGTCTAAAATGTGCTTGTAGTAGTGATAACTGATAATACGACGTAATTGCTTGTATGTGTGCTCCCGGCGACGCCAATCCTCCTACAAAGTAAGATTGACAACCATTCTATTGTGTGTTATAGTATTCTTCGTTAAAACTAATTATCCCCGCGACTTCGTTTGCGTGGAATTTATTACTATGAGATTACACGGGTTTTAATTTTTTTCGCGGAATTCTAATTCTTTTCCTAAAATAAAAGTAGCTTATGTTAGTACTTATAACATCAACTATCCGCCAATTATGTCGCCGTCCAAAATAGGTACAGCAATTTCGGAGATTGGCCGAAACAAACACACAGACAGATAAGACAGTAGCAGTACATACAAATAAATAAAATTGAATTGTCGGTTTGTAATATCAATATATCAGCTTTTTACTAAATGCATATGAACATATATGCACGGTACTTATAACAAGAACAACAAAAGCGACAGTAGCCTAATGGCAGGGTCCGGACCGCGAACTCAAAAGGTCGTGAGTTCGAATTCACCATTCAACTACTGGCGTGAACCACTTGTAGCACAAGCAATTTAAGCTTACCATGAGTGGTTAAAGGGAATATTAGTAATGATATAGCATTGCTAATATTAAAAAATTGTCTGTCTATCTGATTGTTCCGGCTAATGTCAGAAATGGCTAGACCGATTATGACATGAGTTTCACTGACAGATAGCTGATGTTATATGGAGTAACTTAGGCTTATTTTACTTTAGAAAAAGAATTAGGGTTCCATGCGTAAAAAGTAAATCCAATTGTAATAAATTCCACATTTAAAATTAGCAGTGGAATATGAATGATGAACATATTTGCTATCATGAAAATATACATTGTTAATAGAAATAATGGTTTCGCATTTGCAACAGCGCGCGTTAAATTAAAAGAACCACACAAATGGCGTGCGGTAAGCTGGGTAAAGATAACACGCAATTTTCAGCGGACGGAAAACGGACACGGGACGGTCGTGAAACAAATTGGATACTTCCCATATTCAGACATGAAACCATAAAGACCTGCACAACCAGATTGGATGGAAGTAAGATTGGAAACCATCATGTATAAGAGTATTTATTTTGTTTTCTTTATTAATTTATTTTCCTGTTTAGATTGCACGCAACGGAAACATACAAATATAAATATATTAATAGTTACTTTGCAACCGTTAAATCGTCAATCTCGGTTCACTTAGAAAAAGTACTGAAGTAATACACACAAAGAACACCATCGGATTGAGTACCTATCCTATTTGAAGTCGGTTAGAAATGAAATGGGAGATAGACAGCAGTGTTTTCTTAATAATAACAAAAAAATAAAAAAAAACTGCAGTTGCCGAGCCGCCGGCAATAGGGTGTTACACCATGTAAGAAAATAGAAAATAAAATTAATTGATAGAATCAGGCGTTACTTTGCGAAAATCCATTATAAGAGAGATATTAATAGTTACATCTCTGTGTCTTACCTAGATTGAAGAGCACCTCCCGCCCTCCCTCAATTGCATGCACCAATCCCGTCACCACTAATCCCAGCACCACTACTCCCAACACCACTATTCTAGGAAAGACACACCATCGACGTTAATACGACACGTGTTTCGCCCCTACACGAGGCATCTTCAGGTGATGTAGACTCTACGGCGGCTGACCGCTAAGACGTTGAGGGAGGGCGGGAGGTGGCCTTCAAACTAGGTAAGACACATCATTTTATTTAATTGAACTATTAATATCTTTATATATTGAAGATGTTAAAAATAATAACTTAAGATCCGCATTATGCAATTAAATGTTATGTCTTAACTAGTTTGAAGGCAAACACGACACACGTTTCAATTATCGACGGTGGTGTGTCCTGCCTAGTGTAGCGGTGCTGGCATTAGTGATGACGGGGATGGTGATGACAGGGGTTTTCTACCATGCACGAATAGCGTGTGAAATTTCCTATTGCTTCTCGTTTTTCGGCTTTTCAGACCGATATGACATAGGGAACTTCAAGAAAAAAGCCTACTCCTTTCTAAAAAGACAGCTTTTATCGACAATAGGTGTAGGAAAAGCGTTGACAAAGTGCGTATGTTTGACCTTAATGTTAAAGTTTTACGTCCAAATTAAAGTTACGTCCCACTGATGGGCGCCGGCCTATTCTCATTTCTGAGAGGATTTTTGGGCAAGGAAGTGTCCGTCGCGCTGCACCAATTGGAACTTCAGATGTCTTCGAAATACTTTTTATTTTTCATTTCTCAGACGTGCAGGTTTCCTCACGATGTTTGCCCTCACCGCCAAGCACGTGGTAAATCAGCACTTAAAATTGCAATTCACAATTTCATTGGTGCCGGCGGGGATCGAACTCGGTTGGCTCGCGTAATGTGACTTTACAGAGAGCACTAACCATCTGAGCTATCTTAATTAAAATTATATTTAGTCATATTAAGCCATCTCTTTTTTAATATTATTTAAGTTTATACTTACAGCTTAGTTCAATGAAATATAAGGTGCTCGGTTTAAGGTCTTTATATTTTATTTTGTACCAACCGACGGGTAACTTACAAACTATCTACTTCATAACTTCTCAAAATTTCTTTTTGCACCACACTGCACTCTAATAATATAGTAAAAATATGGTTTTGAAAAACAGCTAATCATTGAGGCTAAATTGTTAATGAAATCATTCCAATCTGAATCCCTACTCAAACCGTCACTGCCACAGACGAGCACGTCGACTACACGTCTTCAAGAGGGATTTTTCAAGTTTTATTCTTACATTGGACACCAGTCTTTCGCCATTAAATATTAATTAATTAAAATTAAATGATGTGTCTTATCTACCCAGTTTAAAAAGCACTTTTCTGTTATAGAATAAGGGTGACAAACGAGCACACAGTCCACCTGATGATAAGTGGATGCTGTGGCCCATAGACATCGACATTTATCTCCAATTAAGAATCAAAATGCCGATGCGTTGTCACCCGTGAGGACTGAAATAGAATGTCTAGTTTCCAGTAAAAAGGGTCCTCTACAATCACCATACGAAATACAGCAGCATACCCCCCCCCCCCCTCTTCTTTTCACTATTTTTTTTTTTAATTATTTTATATTTTATTTTTTGTAATTTATATTTTTATTATAACAAAACACCCCCCCCCCCACCCCCAACACAAACCAAAAAAAAAACCCACCCCCACACACCCAAAAAAAATTATAATAAAAATAAAAAAAAAAAAAAAAAAAAAAAAAAAAAAAAAAAAAAATAATTAATACTTAAAATATCAAGATTCAAAATCCAATAATTTAAAAAAAAATATTAAATAAAAACTTTTTTTTTTTTTTTTTTTTTTTTTTTTTTCTAAAACCCCCCCAACCCACACCACTTAAGCTACTATTTTACGCTGGTATTCTGTGAGAGCGTGGTCCTCCCCCGGTCGTGGTGACCAATTCGTGCTACAACCATAATATAGCTGCAGCGTGGCTCTACCACGTACACGTACATCGTACCCAATAAATATATAACTTTATCTCATATGACTTTGTTTGTAAGAAAATCTAGAATCGCTGATCCGATTCTGAAAAGTCTTGAAATCATAGAAAACTACACTACTCCCGAGTGACATAGGCTATGTTATATTGTGATCAAAATTAGGTATCAGTAAAAAATTAGTAAATTATTAAAAAGTCGAATCGGTAAAAATTTTTTCGATTGGCTTTATATAAGTGTGAATACAACCTATTACAAAGTAATTTAGTTTTTATAAAACTGTATACGGATTCTATCGCGTTTAATTTACTTATTTTAACTTATTTTTAATACCCGACGTTTCGGGTTCTTTACAGCACCTACGGTCACGGGGGGACTGAGATGTTTGACGTTCCAATGTCATAGTTCGCCTGACACCTTCAGTTCTTTAATATTAATTTTCGGTGTCAGAACAGCTTACAGTATCTTGAAATCTAGCAGTAGTGTAGAATTCTATCTGCAGTCTGTGAACATGTTCAAGATCGTCCCCACCATTACATCAGATTCGATAAACCACAAATCCTCGCAAAAGAATACCGATTCCTACCAATATATATGATAAGCGAGGCCATTGAAATTAAAAAAACATCCAAATTTCAATAGAGAAGATGGATGGGTGCTGTCATCCGCTTGGGATCCTATAATTAACAGAATTAAACCCAAACCCAAGCATACCACTGCAAGAATTCGAGATACTGTAAGCTCATTTTTCGTAGATCAGACCAAAAATTAATATTCAATAACTGAAGGTAGCCGGGCTAACTATGACATTGGGACGTCTCACAGAGACCATGACCATGGATGCTGTGAAGCACCCGAAACGTCGGGAATTAAAAATAAAGTAAAATAAGTTATTGAACGTGATAAAATTCGGAAATATAGTTTTATTAAATGTGCAGTGTTCGCGTAAATTTAAGAAATCATAATTTAGTTTGTATAAAAAACTAGCGCTCCGGCCCGGCTTCGCTCGGGTGATTTCTGGATCTCGATTACAGCGCCACCTACCGGCTCCCATTGTGAATTTAAACCCTCAAAGTACCCACTCAAACATACACAAAGTGTATAAGTGTACACTGTACAGACCTTATCTGACAGCTGCTATAACTTCAAAATTTTATTTACTTAATAGCATTTTTCCCTGGCCTCTAAATGAAAAGATGATAAGTTATTATGTTATTATAAACAATAATTGTTTTTATACAACAGTAGTTGTAGGTAGACGCGACCTGATAAAGGAATCAAGTGACAGGTCCTTCAATGTATGGAAAATGGGCATGATTCTTTCTTCACCAAAATCGGTCTAGCGTTTTTCAAGTTTTTGCGAGACTACCGCACGGTAATTGATATTTTTTTATATAGATAGAAGATAAATTATTTATTATAAAAATATAAAAAACCATAAGATAAATTTTGATTATAACGATAATGCTAAAAAGATATGTACTCACCTATTTTTGTTTTTATATCTAAACATTGCGATATGTGTGGGAACTGAAGGATCTTCCGCCACTTTTTGCTCTTCCCTTTGTTGCTATCGGAACCGCCTGCGAACAATCAAACACATATTTATTATATACACAAATATTTCAGTCAACTATACAAGAATAAATTATTACTTGAAAACAAAGAGCCCGACTACAGTGAACTATTATTATCTAACAAAAATTATACGTTCGTCAGAACCCGTTTCAAGCAAGTAAGTATTATCTCGTAAAGTATAATCTCATCGGAGATGAACACGAATCTAATGACACCTCACTTTACCAGGCGCGGCGAGCACGCGTCCACTGTCCGCGCACTACGATTGATTGGTGTCATACTTGCTCACTACGACGATCTTGACTTATTTGTTGATGAATTGAGGAAACTTATTACTAAATTAAGAAATATTGTAAATGACAGTGTAAGTTTTTTTATACTTGACATTTTTTATATAGAATTAGGGTGACAAACGAACACACAGTCCACCTGGTGGTAAGTGGATGCTGTGGCCCATTGACATCTACATTTATCTTCAATTAACAATCAAAATACAAATGCGTTGTCACCCCTGAGGACTGAGATGAAATGCTTCGTTTCCAGTAAAAGGTGTCTCCGATTCTCTACACTAACCATACGAAACACTTTATATATTACGCTGCTATTTTACGCTATTATTCTGTGAGAGCGTGGTCCCCGGTCGAGCCGGCCTATTAATGCTGCAACCACAATATAGCCGTAGAATAGCTCTACCACATGTGTTATTAAATATGTTAAATGCTGTATATTTTTTTTTATTAAATGTGATTTATTTTGGAATTTAATGTCATGTATTTTATTTTACTAAGATTATGACTTAAAATTGATTTAATGTTAATTTAATATTTGTCTACTGTTACAAGCGTGTTGGATGCTACCATTTGTTAGCTTGTAAGCATGTTTCTAATAATACATAAATAAAAAAATAAAAAAATCAATCAAGCCATTTAGGCAACAGAATGTCACAAAGGAAGAGCTACCACTCCGAATGGGAAGTGGGTGGGAAGGCCCACCACGCCGAATGACTTGGTTCACGTTAAACCGATCATGCTGGGAGATCTGTTCATTATTTTGCATTGGTATATGGTCTGACACAATTGGTTACTTCGCCTGCGCGGATTCCAAATGTGGAGGTTCATACACCTTCCCTGTTGGACCTTCTGCTGACCTCTCACCCGGACGGATAACAGATTTCCGTCGACGCCACTTTAGGCTCCTCGGACCATTGTCTTGTCCGGAGTGTGGTGCCACTCACGCTGAAATCGCAGTTAAATTCTGCAGGCTGCCGCCGTGTTTGGCACTATAGGTCAGACGATTGAGATAGGATGCGGTCTTTCTTTGCATCCTACCCTTGGGGAGGGGTTGTTCTCGCCGGACGATCCCAACGTTGTTGCTGATTCTGTTGCTGATGTGGTACTACAGGGTATAGAACTTTTTATTCCTTCCTCTGTGGTGCCCATCGGAGGAAAATCTCAGCCACGGTTTAGTCGCTCCTGTAAAATAGCATCACGCTATAATAAGCAGGAGTGTTACCAAGCCTAGACTGACGCATCAACGTCCCGGGATGTAAACACCAGCGCTCTTAAAAAGTAGTATAATTCCGCCTCCATGTCCTTCAAAAAAGTCTTGCCAAAACAAAGTCAGAGCACATGGGCAGAATTGGCGAGAAACTAGTACGCCTTCCTTCTGGAACCCGTGCATTCTGGTCTCTCGCCAATGTCCAGGGGAATTTCTGTCAGCCATCTCTTCCATCTCTGCACAGGAAGGACGACTCACTGACCTATGCCGCTATGGAGAAAGGCGATCAGTTAGGCTCTTACTTTGCGTCCAACTCGACTCTCGATGACGGGGGGAGTACGCCGCCGACCATTCTGCGGTGTGAGTGTTTCATGTCGGAGGTGCGATTTACACAGCGCTCGATTCGCAAAGCACTCCTCTCCTGGACATCCACAAATCGAGTGGGCCTGACGGTATCCCCCCAACTGTCCTGGGGACGTGTGCTCCGGAATTGGCACCGGTCCTAACGCGTCTTTTCCGGTACTCCTACTCTCTAGGCGTAGTCCCAAAATCATGGAAGACGGCTTTCGTCCACCCGATCTCTAAAAAAGGCGACCGCTCAGACCCGTCCAGCTACAGACCCATCGCCATCACCTCCTTATTCTCCAAAATAATGGAATCCATTGTAAACTGCCAGCTCATGCGGTACCTTGAGGATCACCAGCTGATTAGTGATCGCCAATACGGTTTTCGTCGGGTTCGATCAGCTGGTCTAACTGACTTGTCGATGGGCGGAGGCAGTAGAATCCAATGGGGAGGCATTGGCCGTTAGTTTAGACATTAAAAAGGTAAACCTTCGATCGGGTTTGGCACAAAGCGTTTCACTCTAAGCTCCCTTCCTATGGGCTTCCCGAGAAATTGTGCAATATGATCACCAGCTTTCTTGCAGATCGGAGCATCAAGCTCGTTGTAGACGGTGCAAGCTCCGATTACAAGCCTAGTAATGCTGGTGTTCTACAAGGCTGCATGCTATCACCAACGCTGTTTCTTCTGCATATCAATGATATGTTGCAAACTTGCAACATTCATTGCTATGCAGACGACAGCACTGATGATGCTCTGTGCACCGGCCGTGCCAATATTTCTCGGAAAAATGTCTTCGTGACATACATCAAGTACCGGGACAAACTTGTGTCATAAGTCGAGTCTTTGCTGAACAAAGTCTCGGATTGGGGGCGACTAAATTCAATCCAGTTTAACCCTCAGAAGACACAAGTTTGCGCGTTAACCGCTAAAGAGAACCCCTCTGTCGTATCTCCTCAGTTTCAAGGCACTCCCCTTGTTACCTCAGCCGGTATCGGAATCTATATCGAGTGACGTGCAGTTTCGTGGTCGCTTGGAAGAGAAGGCCAAATTGGCCTCTAAAAAGCTTGGCGTGCTCAGCAGAGCGGGACAGTATTTCATGCCGGCACACCACCTGCAACTTTACAAGGCGCAGGTTTGGCCGCTCATGGAATACTGTTCTCATCTCTGGGCTGGTGCTCCCCAGTGCCAGCTTCTTCCACTTTACCGCATCCGGCTCGAACCGTCGACGACCGAGTGCTTTCCGATCGGCTCGATTCACTGGCGCTGCGAAGAGATGTTGAATCTCTGCGTATTTTATCGCATCTACCACGGGGAGTGCTCTGAGGAATTGTTCGGATTAATCCCAGCCGCCAAATTTCATGAACACACTACGCGGCAAACCTCCCGATACCATCCACACCGTCTGGATACTCGGCGGTCCACTACTGTACGTTTCAATAGGAGTTTTCTGCCGCGTACGACCTCTCTGTGGAATAGTTTACCACCGGCGATTTTTCCGGACCGATACGACCTGGTGACCTTGAAGAAAAGAGCATACTCCTTTCTAAAGGACTGGCATGGCACCTGCAATTCCTCTGCTGTTGCGGATGTTCATGGGCGGCGGTAGTCACTTAACATCAGGTGAACCGTATGCTCGTTTGCCCCCTCTTCTATAAAAAGAGACAAATATATGTTTATATACACACCTACAAACAAAAAATCATAACATACATATATACATAGATAAAAACTCACGCCTGACAGACAGAGGGGCAGACAGAGACTACGAATTTCATTTGGCAAGCTCCTGACACACCTTTCTTGCCTCCTTCACCTCCATATATCTACGCATACATATTTATACGTCCATACACATACTCGTCGCACTCTATAAATCATCGAATCAAGATTATTACGCTGTTTCTGCGACAAACTGTCTAGAACAGGTAAATGAAATTGTATACTTGGGGAGTGCTTTCAGCCGGGATGGAAGATGTGATTTAGATGTGGATAGGCGCGTCGCTGCCGGAAACAAAGTCAATGATGCCCTGAATGCATTAGTCAAAAGGCAAAGCGTGGTGCCCGCAAGGCAAGAGTGCACGCCTTGCAATACATAACGCAGTGTTAGTACCGACTTTGTTATATGGCAGCGAAACCTGGGTATGCCCGAAGAAGCATAAAAGCAAGTTGAATGCAGTGGAGATGCGATCTCTTCGTAAAATGTGTGGCGTTACCATAGCTGACCGAAAGCGAAACGAAGAGATTCGCAATATGGCAGGATTGAAAGATGACCTTATCACAAAAATTGATAGGGGCGTACTCCAATGGTTTAGGCACGTAAAACGAATGAGTGAAGACCGAATGGTGAAGAAAATATATAGAGCGAAAGTAAATATTAAAAGGTGTCGAGGTAGACCGAGACTAACTTTCGAAGACCATGTGAGCAAATTGCTCGAAGAGGGGAAGGTCAAAGTACTCGGATACCTAGACGTGCATGTATGAAGAAGTTAATGAACCTGAAGGAAGCGAAAGAGGTATGTAAGGATCGTGACACTTGGCGATCTGTTCTCTCTGGCTACCCCGTTAGGGATTGTGCGTGAAGATAAGTAAGTAAGTAAGTAAGTTCTGCGACAAAACAAAAAGCATAGCGATATTTCATTTTCATAATTAACTAGCGATATACCCCGGCTTCGCACGGGTTCAACTATGCCTATAACTTTCGCGGAAGTGCAAGCAATATGTTGACAATTTTTTACCGCAATCTGATGAACGGCATGACAGCGCACAAAATACGAACAAACAAAAACTAATGTTTATATATTAGAAGATAACATATGATAATATAACTAGTATTCCCGTTAATAAGTTTTAGACGCAATTTCGGCTTGAAAATAGTTGTACTGGATGTTGCATGGCATGGCAGTACTCTGACTGCGGATTTTTTTAAGTACAGTGGACCCCCGGTAATCTGGCGCCTAGCTAATCCGTCCCCCCCTTGTCATTTTATAATTAAACTATAGCAGTATCTGTAAACAATAATAATTAAAGTTTGAAGTTATATTTCATAAAATTTTCTCTACCATTGAATCTTGTCATATCATTTATCTATCTAATATATTATTCCGTAAGTAACTGAAAGTCACTGTAGTCATACAGACAGTAACCAGACCCCTTTTAGTGGAAA